GGCTGGGGATTTAGCTCAGTGGTTCAGTGGCCTGCCTTGCAAGCACAAGGACCCTAGTTCAATCCCCAGTACCAAAAAAAAAGAATTGAAACTACCCCCATAATATAAGATCACTGGGAAATGATAACAGAAATCAGTGACAGAAGAAATTTCAGAAAAAGCAAAAGCTCCTGGAAAATTAACACAATCCTAAACAACCAATGAGTTACAATAGAAATCAAAGTAGAAATTTAAAACTTTCTAGGAATCAATGACAATAATTGTACATTTTGCCCAAACTGCTAAGACACAATAAAAACAGTTCTAAAAGGAAAATTCATTGCAATTAATGCTCACATTGGGAAAACAGAGCAAGCTGAGGTAAACAACCTTATAGGAAATTGAAAGATACTTGAAAACTGTAACAAACCAAACCCAAACCAAAATTAAGGAGGCAAAATGAGAGCAGAAATCAATGAAATTGAGATGAAATAAGTAAAAAAAAAACAAAAACAAAAAACAAAACCAATGAATTGAAGAGCTGTTTTTTTCAAAACAATAAAGAAGATAAGCCCTTAGCCAGACATACCAAGGGAAACACAGAAAAGATTCACATCAGTATAATTAGAAATGGAAAAGGTGAAATAACCACAGATGCTATGGAAATCCAGAAGATAGTAACTACTTTGAAAAATTACATTCCAAAAAATTAGCAAATTTGAATGGATAGATTTCTACATACATACAAATTACCAAAACTAAACCAAAAAGACACAAATATGCTTAAACCTTAGTAACAAGTAATAAAATTGCCACAGTAATAAAGAATCTACCAACTAAGAATAGCTCGGGGCCTGATGGATTCAGTAATGAATTATACAGAACCTTTAAGGATGTTACATCATCAATATTCCTCAAGGTGTTCAAAGAAACTGAAAGGGATGGAGTGTTCCTACATTCATTTATGGAAGCCAGACAAAGACCCAACTAAAAAAGACAACTACAGAAAAATCTCCTTAATGAACATAGATGCAAATATTTCAACACAATGTTAGCAGATAGAATGTAGTACATCATCAAAAAAGATTATACATCATGATCAAGTACATTAGACCCCAGAGATGCAAGAATGGTTCCACATACATAAGTCAATGAATGTAATACCTCATATAAACATAAGCAAGATTTAAAAGATAACATATAATCTTATCAGTAGATGCATAAATGACTTTTGACAAAATCCTAAACCACTTTGAAATAAAATTTCTGAAGAAAATAGATATAGTGGGACCATACCTGAATATGTTAAAATCTATTTATGACAAACCAATAGCCAGCGTCATACTAAATGAGGAACAACTAAACATATTCCCCCTAAAATCAGGAATAAGACAAGGCTCTCACTATCACCACTTCTGTTCAACACGGTATTTGAAACATCAGTGAGAGCAATCAGGCAAGAGAAAGAAATAAAAGGGATAGATATGGGAAAGGAAGAACTCAAAATATCATTATGCAGGTGATATAAGTCTCAAAGAACTCCACCAAAAAACTCTTAGAATTAATAACCAAATTTGCAAAGTAGAAGGATACAAGATCAACCCACAAAAATCATTAGCATTTGTGTACACAAATACTGAACTCAATGAGAAGGAAATTATGAGGGTAATGCCATTCACAGTGGCTCAAGAAAAATGAAATACCTAGGAATTAACCTAACCAAGGAAGTGAGAGACCTCTACAATGGAAACTACAGTACTCTGAAAAAGGACATTGAAGAGGACATCAGGAAATGGAAAGATTCCCCTGCTCCTGGATAGGCTGCACCAACATTGTCAAAATGGCCACACTCCAAAACCGTTATACATATTCAACCCAGTCTCGAGCAAAATAGCGACAGCATATTTTACAAGACTACAGAAATGCGGCTCTCTGGGGGGACCCCGTCCCGCGGGGAATAGGAAGTGAGAGCCGCCTCTTATTCGTGGGTCATCAGAGGCCGATCCGATCTTGAACGTCTGTGGAGGAAATCTTTAAGAAGTTAGAGTACACGGCCCAAGTCTGGTTTCTGATCAAAGGCTCTTTATTGGCTCAGCAAAACGATTATATACTGTTATCCCAGGGGGAAGGTTCAGCAAGCTTATTGGACAGTTCAAACAAATCCTCTACCAATCACATGAGTCATTCAAGCATTTAACCATAAAGGGACAAAGCATTTATCAGCATACAGCAATCAGTATTTTACCAAATGTGGGGAGGGGTAAGTGGGAAGGCGTACATCAACAATTAACCCTATGCAATCTTTAACTTCACAATCCCTAGGGGCAAGTAGGACAGGGAAATACCACCGGCCTCCTGCTCCAGATCCCGTGACCCTGTGGTTAGCACAAAGGGCTATTTTTTCTGTAAGATTCCCTGTTTGCCCAGGGGCTAAACCTGCCAAAAGTCACGTACGTAGTCTAGTGGGATTTTTCCACCGAGGCAAAGGCTAAGGTTGAGGGCAGCCATCTTGTGCAGGCCCAAGCAGTCTCTCACACAGAAACACAGTCCTAAAATTCATATAGAAGTAGAAGAGACGCAGAATAGTAAAAGCAATTATGGGTAAGAGAACAAAGCAGGAGGCCTTGCAGTATCTGACTTCAAGCTAAATTACAAAGTAATAATGGTAAAAATGGTATGGTATTGGAACAAAAACAGATATGTGGATCGATACCACAGAACAGAGGATACAGAAATATCCCCAGACACATACAGCTACTTGTTTTTTGATAAAGAGACCAAAAGCATGTACTGTAAGAAAAATAGCCTGTTCAGCAAGTGGTGCTGCGAAAACCAGTTATATTTGCAAAAGAATGAAATTGAAACCTTAACTCACACCATATACTAAATTAAAATAAAAATAGATCAAAGATTTAAACATTAAGACTTCTAGAAGATAAAATACATAAAAAACTAGTAGACATAAGTGTAGGAAATGATTTTATATACAGCACCCTAAATGCAGAAAAAATAGCAAGAATCAACAAATGGGATTATATCAGATTAAACATCTTCTGGACAGTGAAAGAATCAATCAGCAAAGTGAAGAAACAACCTACAAAATGGGAAAAATGTTTTTGCCAGAGACCTAATTTCTAGAGTATATGAACTCAAAAACATTTAAAGCACTGAAAAAGACCCAGCGGGTGGGGATTTAGCTCAGTGGTTCTGGCTCCTGCCTTGCAAGTGCAAGGGCCCAAGTTTGATTCCTGGTACGAAAGAAAGCAAGAAAGAAAGGAAGGAAGGAAGGAAGGAAGGAAGGAAGGAAGGAAGGAAGGAAGGAAGACCCAGTGAAGAGATTGGCAAGAGAAATGAACAGGCCCCTCACAGAGGAAGAAATACTAATTGTGAACAAATATATAAAAAAATGTTCAACATCTCTGGCCATTAGAGAAATGCAAATTAACACACTAAGATTCCACCTTACTATAGAAAGAATAGCACTCATTAAGACACCAGACAATAACAAATGGTGGCATGGCTGTGGTGAAAAAGGAACTCCCCTGCATGGAAATGTAAACTAATACAACCATTATGGAAATCAGTATGGAAATTTCTCAAAGAACTGAAGTTAGAAATTCCATATGACCCAACTATCCTCCTGCTAGGTATCTTCCCCAAAGAGCTTAAATCATCATACTACAGCAATACATGCATAACAATGTTTATAACAGTGCAACTCCTAATAGCTAAATCCTGGAAGCAGCCTACACACCCATCAAAAGATGACTGGCAAAAAGACTATGCGGTACTGACATATAATGCCATAGTACTCAGCAATAAAGAATAACAAGTCTGAGATATTTGTGAGAGAATGGGTGCGCCTGGAATGTGATGTTGAGTGAAATAAATCAAACACAGAAGTGTAAACACCATATAGTACCTTTTGTGTGAGACACACTACAAAGGAGATGATATGGGATGGATAGAAAGGGACAAGGGGACAGATCTACTGCAACAGGGAAGTGGTCCCAGGGAACCAGGATGAGGGGTGGGGAGAGGGGAAAGGGAAGTGAGAAAGACAGACATAAAAAACAGAAAGACAGACAGACGTGCCACGTACGTACACCTGATAACCCAATCAGTGTAAACACTGTGCTTCATAACGTGCTCAGACAAATAATATCAACAGGGATGAAAAAAGTATAGGGGCCGGTGGGGAGGCAGGGAGAGCGTGGAATGGGAAGGGATTAAAAGAGAAACAAGCTGTAACATGTACCTGTACCGCTCCCAAGATGACGTAAACTGCATAAATTGCAAACGTGCGCTAAGAAAACTTGAAAAAAAAACACATTTGCATTTCTCTGAAAATATGTCTTAATATAAAACATAGCACAAAATTTAAAATTATCTCTTGTTACACAGAATATGGAGTATATAGACCAAAAATTTAAAATAGAAGTAGGGAAAAATCCCAACAATTACAAAACCAATTAACAGCATTGAATTTTTTAGTGGCCTCGGCCTATGGCCTGTCCTAAAGACAAAACAAAAACTACATATTAATCCTACTTGAAGGTAAAAAATACATTTCAATTGATGTTTAATTAAATGACACTATGTTAAGATCAAAGATACAAAAATACATTAATTATGTCACTTGATTTTTTTATATTAGACACTACAGATACATTAGAAGATATTTATATTATTTACTGAAAAGCACAATGTACTTTAGGATGTCTCCATCTGGGATTGTATTTTCAGGAAAATTTGATTTTGACATAAAGTTTTTGTATTTCTTACTTGTACTAATCTCCAATGCATGAGAAATTTTCACAAAATTTTCAAAATAGGCTTACATATATAATTTCTCCCTAGTGAAACTTTCCACATGTGTGATAATAGATGTATATACTGAAAGCTTTCTCAGATTGTTTACATACATAGGGTTTCTCCCCAATGTGATGTTTTTATCTCTGTGAAATGAGGACATAGCCCCAAATCCTTTTCCACATTGCTTACAAGCATAGGGTTTCCCCTTAGTGAGTTTGTTCGTGTTTATGACAATCACTACTTGGGCTGAAAGCTTTCCCACAGTGCTTACACACACAGGTTTTCTCTCCAGTGTGCATACTTACACACCTGTGAAAGGAATTACTGTAAGTGAACATTTTCCCACATTCCTTAGATACATAGAGCTTCTCAGCATGCCTTCGTTCAGGTGCTTGAATACGGTGGGGTGAAACAAAGGCTTTGTCATACTGTTTACATACATATTGATTCCCCCAACTGTGATTTCTTTCATGGATCTGAGTATCATTGGGTGTGCCAGAGGCTTTCAATTTTCTCTTACACACAAAGGGCTTCTCTCTGAGGTGAGTTCTTGCACTAAGACCAGAGCAGGATTTCCCACTCTGATTACACTCACAGGGTTTCTCTCCACCCTTTGTCTTCGCACACTTCTGAGCGGACTGGAAATCGCCACAGGCTCTTCCATTTTCATCACATTTATACAGCTCCTCTTCAAAGCCCAAATACTCAGACAGCTTCAGTCCCGGGTGAGCTACGACGGGCACATTTAGTGACAAACGCCCAGTCAGGGGCTTTCTACAAGCAAGACTTTCAGCTGATGTTAAACTAGCTTGTTTCATGTCCACAATAGCATCTGGAGTCCAAAGGAATATTTCTTCATGTTGATGCCAACCTTTATATTGATAGGATTTCTCTACCTGTTCTACCTGTGAAGAAGAGGAAAAACAGTCACAATAAAAAGGATCTTCCTATTAATGCTTTGCCAGAACATGTTCTTGCTTCCTAAGAAATAGCAGCAATGAATTAACTGAATGGCCTGGAGGACACCTTCAATGGCTGTCACAAAAAAGTGGCGCACGTTTGGGAATTTTTAAATTGGAATGTGTTGCCATGCAGCAGGTTCACTTTAATTCTGGAAGGTCGGTCCATGTGTGTATCACATGTTGATCGCTTCTGCTACCTTCCACCGCCACGCTCCCCTTCTCTCCTTACTCTGTGCATCCTTCCATCTCCCACAATTGAGGCTTTCCTTTTCCTGTCACCTCTCCTTTACTTGCCTCCCTCATTTGTATTCCGATTTCTCAAATAGGAGAAGCAATATACTTCACATTCTGTATCTGACTCATTTCATTTAACATCACGGGTTGAAGACTAAGCCACGTCTTTTGGCAAATGACATGGTATCATTCATCTTCGTGGCTGATTCTATAGCATATTTGCTTTTCAGTGCTGAGCATGAAACCCCGGTCTTAGTACTGAATTACATCACCCCACTTACAGAAATGAACGTACTGCCTCAAAGTGGCTTATGATAAAAAGGGATGGGCATTCCTACTGTCTGAAAAATTACGATAGTCTTTGATTCTCTCCTCCATTTAAATAAAATTGTACTACACACACAACTAATCTCCAATTCAGAGACACTTATCCAGGGGAAGGTTTCACGGATGCCTTTCAGAGTGGCACCCATGCACTCACAATGGAAAAATTTACAACACTCTTGGCATAAAAGCAAGAAATTGATGGCATTTAATTTAACCAAGCATTGTGATCATGGTATACAGTCATGCTTGGTGATCTACACCTGTGACTACATCACTCTGGGAGGCAGAGACTAGAGGTTAAGAGTGACAAGCTCAGCCTGGGCTTTCTTAGTGAGACACAGTATCAACATTCGAAATGTCACGCCAGCGATGTGCACCACACTGCATCTCTACAGCCAACTGAAACTCTAAACTCCACAACACTAACAAATTAATGAAAGGGAGTTTAAAAGGGAAAACACTTTATTTTTAAGAAAGAAAAATCAGGCAGGGCATGGTGGCGCATGCCTGTAATCCCAGCACTCAAGAGGCTGAGGCAGGAGGATCGCTGCAAGTTCTAGACCAGCCTGGGCTACACAGTGAGTTCCAGGTCAGTCTGAACTACATAGGGAGACCCTGTCTCAAAAACCCCCCAAAGTAAAAGAAAACTCAGAAGACAGACAGCTACCCTGTGAGCAGTGAGGGTCAGGGGCCCCCAGAAAGCTGGAAACCCCATGGGCCTTTGTCCTCAGCTTCCTTTTATCAAGCACTAGAGACGCTCCCTCCCCCCCTTAATACCTGGAACTTGTCAAAGCTTTACTGGTTCTCTGGGCTGTCATAGATGAGCCCCGGGCCCCAGCACCCTAACCTGGGCACCATCGCCTAGGTGTACGTCCCTAAGTGTGATTTATTTGATTTTCTCTTGCCCCGTCAGGGCTTTATCTCTGAAATTTACAGATTGGTTAGAAGGGACCTTACATACAAGGTCCAGTAAGTGATTAAATAAAGGGATGTGTGTATTTACTGCAAGAATAGTGACACCGGTGTGAGAATATACCTGCATGGGTGAAGCTGAAATGATAAGACCCTAACCAAAGCCCAGCCCAGGCTTCCTCCCTGAATGCTGACTGACTCCATCTAAGGAATCATAGCCTTGAAGTAGGATTTACTCCTGCACTTCAGAGCTGCCTATGTTTTCTTACCATTCTCAGTGGGCTCTTCCTATTTGCTGTTCCTGAACATGTGATCATAACTGTGTTCCTCTAGTTTTAGACTAAATATCACATGGAGAAAGCCCCCAAACCCAAAGAACCTGGGCCAAGGCAAGAGCAGGCCCCACGGGAATAGAAGAAAAGAATCAATGCTGTCAGAGGTCAGGAATTGGAAGGAGGCAGTTGGCTTCCTGGCACAGACCTGCTGACACTGTATCTCTAGACATTTTCAGCAAAGGTAATAAAATTATGCTAAAAAGAGAATAATTACTTAATAAATAAAGAAGCTCTTATGCAAAGGAATCAAAGTGAAAGAAAATATTTTGACTGCCTCAGATAGGCAAGTTCTTTGTCCAAAGTCAAAAACACTACAACTCTGAGAGGGCTACAATGATAGGCACAGAGTAACCCCATCCTCTGTCATTTCTTCATGATCACTTAGTAATACCTGAGGACCCAACACAGTAAATTCTCCATAATATGTTGTATCCTCCTCACAGGTTGAAAGTTCTCTCCTTCGGCATATTAACTTCACCCCAGTACAGTTCTCATCTGAAGTCATGATGGGTCAGTCTTATGGTCAAATGCACTGGCTTGAGAGATGCCTATGATACAGTAAAGCCATGTCTGCATTGTCTGAGTGAGTCAGAGAGGCATGAATTTACAGGTTACATCTCATCCCCGGCCTTCTGTTCTCTGGGTCTCTCTCTCTGAAGAAGACTTGGTGCTGGCAGCCTGAAAGAACTGGAGACCGACATCCAAAGGCAATGACAAAGACCAGGACTCTCCACAGAAAAAAGACTGACTGCATCTCCTTATTCCACCTAGGGTACGAGCTCATTGGGTGATGCCAACCTCATACAGTGCACGTCTTCCCTCCTCAGGCTGTGGCCTGCATGCCAAACACCCCGGGCTCTGCTAAATCCACTGCTCAACCGGACATATCACAATTAATGATCACAAATGCCTACATGGGTCTTTCTCTAAGCTTGCCCTTCACAGATACTCCTCAGATGTACACATTACAGTCTGGTTCCAGCACATCTTTGTATGCAGAAGCCAAACATTGTTCAATCAAAGCCTCATGGCAACCAGAGTCACAACTTCAGAAAAAACGAACGCCCAAAACCACCTGCACGTGAGACACATGCTTCCTAACACACTGCAGCTTGTCATGCTCTGCAGTTCTTTAAACGGTACATGGATTTAAAGCAGCTTTTCCTCACAAGAAAGGAAGATGGGAAAAAATTCATTTTCACATGACCAAATGTGCAGAAAAATGGATAAAATGTGCATTGTGCATTTCTTCCTGTGCCCTGGTGATTCCCCCACCATTCCAGATGAATTTGGCCCAACCGGCTCTATGCCTAGCAGATTTACATGTTGTTTTATCTTTTTAAAACTATGGTATTTCTTTACCCCCACATCTCTACTAACCCATTTAGTCACTGTATAATAAACCCTAAGGATCTTACAAGTTCCTCTCCTTTCTAAAGGTATAACAGCCCGAAGGCTGAATCCTCCTAATGCTGAATCATGCCACACACCTTAAAGTATCCACCTGAAGCTGTATTACAGGACATAGGATGACATTTTGTGTAAATTAGGGACGTATTTGCTGTGGCTATTATCAATGTCCCGTCATACCATAGGGACAAGAACACACGTAGAACACAAAATTATTTGGCCGTATTCTAGAGATTATGATCCACAGGCTTCTAAGATTTCTAAATTTCTAAAAGAAAGAAGTAATAAGAAAATTAAAGAAGGAAAAAAGGAAACAGAACAGATGGCAGGGAAAGTGAGGAGAGAGAACAGAAGGATGACAAGAAGGAAGAAATACAGGGGCCAAAGTGCCCCTTTAAGTACGCTCCCAGCAACAAAACTCTGAAGAAGAGTTTGACGCACAAGGCTTTTTTCATGTTGTCCTTCTGGTCCTTGTTCCCGAGGGTGAACCTTAGTGTGTCAGATCTTTCAAAGACGCTCACATATTTTCAAAATTGGGACAGAAGTAAATGACAAAGGAACAGCCAGAATGCTTGACAACCAGCAGTGCCAGAGTGCTTGAAAACCACGGTGCGGTACACTGCACACATGGAGAAACCACAGAGAGGTGCACGGACACATGGAGTAGGGCACCTGCTGTCCCTCAGCGGAGGAGATCCTCAGCTTGGGGGTCACAACGAAGACACGGGAGAATACAATTAACGTTAAACAGCCAATGAGATCTCACGGTCAGTAAGACTTCCTCCCCCTACAATTCAACTTCATGAGAAAAATGTGGCAGAGAAAATCTTGGGTTACATTAGACTCACACAAGACAGGGTGGAAAACTAGTATTGTCACCAAAATGCTAAAAATGAACATAGGGCATATGTTCGGACATACCCAAGACAATGCCCAAGACAGGCACTTTCACAAGGGCTGCTCTGCATCCTGTCACACAAAGGCATGGAAAGGGACACACAGTGGCCTTACCCCCACGAGGAAGAGTTGTGTAGCAAAAGCAGGAGTGGAGCATGCGATTAGCTCAGGCCACACACGTGAAACAGAAGTGGAGGCATGGCACAGTAATATCACCGAGGGTCACACTGAGCTCAGGTTCAGAGATGCAGAAACAGTCAGCAAGAGCTACACGGCCGTGTGTAGACTGCATTCACTCGGGACGGCACCCTGGCAAGGAACTGAAGTGACATTCCATTTTCCAGTGTACTTCCTCTCCCAGTGGGTTTGCAAGTGACTCTTACAGAGTCCCTGCCATGGAACAGGTACATCAGCAGGTGCAGAGGTACACAGCTGGATGGAGTTGCCATGGAGAACAAAGAAACCAAGAGGACAAACTGCAACCACGCACAACAGTTCTGAACAAGCTCAGCTCTTGTGCCTGCTGGGATCCAACACAGAATGAAAATGCATGGTCAAAACTTAGGTGGATGCACAGCTCAAATGGCAACTTAACCACTTACCGGTCCAATTATTTAAATGTAGGATGATCCAAAATTGTATATTTTTGTGAAATTTTACAAGATGTCATAACAGGAAATATGAAAAATGACAATTTTATCAAATTTATTCAATGCAAGAATCAACTGGTTGAAATGACTCCTGCTTGAGCGACGCTAGAGACAGTATGTAAACAACAGTGCTGCCCACGGGATGCTTGGGGCAAACTGCTGCTGAGTGCTTAATAATTCTGTGGGACTGAACAACATACTGGGTATTTATTACAGGGTCTTTTTCCTCGTCTACTAAAAAATAATGGTCTTAACATTAACCATGGTGAGAAGGGTAAAACAAGAGCCTTATATTAAGGGCTTAAGCCAGAGTTCAGCGACTACTTGGGTTTTATTAACACTGACAACAAGAAAGGGCATGCGTTTACAGACACTGGAGACAGGAACTGATCGGGCTGTAACACACCTACCCAGAGTGCACATGTTCTAGGAAGCATATTTGTATTTAGTTGGTTTGTAAAATATTTCTCTGAGAGCCCGTCTTTTCTTGATTATTTATAATGTACTGCTTTACAAGTGTTTTAAATATCCATTATTGGTGTTCACTCCAAACATCACATTCCCTATTCTATGGAAAATGAAGGGACCTAGGGATGCTTCTGCACATTTGAAATCTAGCTTCTAAGAAATCTCTGAAGCAAAGGATCATAATTTTAAGATCAAAATGGGTAATTTCTCAGGAGTTTGTACTTGTGAGCAACCAACATAAAATACATTGTAAAACTCTATACAATTCAAGTAGTAAACAGCATCATGTCACTGAGAAATCCTAAGTAGTGGACTAAAGTTGTAAATTTCAACAGACTTCAGAAATGCCATGTGGAAATATTTATTTTAATGCAGTGAATAATATTCAGACACTACATATCAGATGTGTTTCAAATGTTTCTCAAATACAAACCATATGTTTTTCCAAGCAAATGGGCAACTCTTAAAAATCATTTTGTTAGGATATATGAAATCTTGTTTCAATTACAAAATAAAAATATTAGATTGCTGATAATAAGGAAAACTAGAAATTATGAGAAGGAACTGCTTTAGAAATCTCACATATTTTCTTTTCCAAGTGTAGGTGGAAGGAATCAAGCATCATTGTCACATGTAGGAGGAGCTTCACCTTTGCACCAGATTTCAATTTCACCCATTTGTTATTTATACAAAATCTATTGCTTCAATAGTAAATCATGAAACAAATTTGGAAATATGCAGTATTAGGTGACAAAGTTGGTAAAAGAATGCAAACGTTTGAAATAAAAAAATACTTTCACCTAAATATAAGAAATATATTTAGCAAAACATGTCATCATAAATATACAACCAGCAATTAATGAGAAGACTCAATATATTGGAAAAGATGGATAAAGTAGGGCATAATAATAACAACAAAGGTATAATAAAAATTCATAAAATTAAAATGAGAATTATAAAGGTAATGGATATTTTAAATTATGGGAAAGCATCTCACTAAGTTAATCCAGGCAGGCCATAATCATTTGATCTTACATTTACCTTCCTGACTAATGTGATTACAGATACATACCAGTGAATCTGGCCAAGCAATGTTGTATTAAGAAACTTGAAAATATAACAAAATTATGGTTTATGGAATTTTAGACAGTAGATAAACAAATTCTTTAAAATAAATAAAATTTCAAAACTGGTATTAGAAGCAAGATGCTGGAAAGTTAAAGAAGGCAGCAAGACACTGATGTGACAGTCTATTTCCCAGTATAAATTCATCTCCCACTGGGCTGAAGGTACCAGCCTGAAATCCTAGCACTCAGGAGGCTGAGGCAGGATGATCACCATCATTTCTAGGCCAGCCTGGACTACATAGTGATTTCAAGGCCAGCTTGAACTGCATTGCGAGACCCTGTCTCAAAAAAAACAATAAATAAATAAATAATTCAAAAATTCTGAAAACAAAAATAACTCTACCAGTGGGTTTACAAGTGATTCCTTGAAACTTTTAAGATATTGGTCAAAATGTGATATACATATGTGCAAATTTACCACAATGAATAAATTCATTATACATTCCAAAATTAGATTAATTATAATATTATAATAAAAATAAGATATTCAGGTAGATATAGTCTCACATGTATGTAATCCAAGAAAAGAAAAAGTAAATCTGTAGTGCATTTCATTGGTTAATGCAATCTTTACCTAAAATCAGGTAAGTGTTTACAAAAATAAGGAATTATAGGCACTCTATATCTAGGCACATAGATTTTCCATACAAGATAAAGTTTTGCCTAGTAAAATATAAGGATGTAACAGAACATACTAGTTAGCTGATATCACGAATGCCTACCCTGGGCAATATCCTGGGTTCCATCCGTAATATGTACAGGCACACGCACACACACAGGCATACACACACACACTCACACACACACACCACTATGTCATAATAAAATGGTGTTTATTTGGTAAAAGATGTTTCAGCACCAGAAAGCTATCATAAAATTCATTGCTAAAATCAACAAAAAAAAACCCTCAGCTAACCACATATGTGAATCTTGGCATAAATATATTTTCTAAACCTCAATTTCTATTGTTTCTGAAAGGTTATTAAAGAAGACAAAATTAAAATAAGCTTAATAACAAGGTAAAACACACGGACCATAAAACTAGCAGATGGGATGCAGAATGGAGACACAATACGTGTATTATATAAAATCAGAGAAAAGTATATCCACTGTTACTGTAAGGACCAAGTTTTCAGGTCGAGGTGGGCTCCCTCTGTGCCCTTTGCCCACCTCTGTGCCCCTTTCCCAGAACAGAGCTGCAAAAATTCCATTCTGTATGACAGTCTCCCTGTGTTCTGTTCCTCTTTTTAGGAACATAGTTTAAGACCAGACTAAACTATATTGTGAAATCCTGTCTCAAAAACTAAAACATAAATAAATAAAAAGAAAGAAAAAACTAAGACACCTAGTGATTGCATTAAATCTCTATAGCTTTTTTAAAAAATTATTTTAATATGGTCAGTCTGATCTGTCCTTCCCAGGTACATGGGATGTTTTTTAAATTTTCTGAAATCCTCTTTTTTTCAGACTCCTAAAAATTTTTAATTAATTTTATTAGAACATTTAAGGTATAGAATGTAGTAACATTCATCATTGGAAATTTGCACCTTAACATAATCCATCTTGATTCTTATTTTTTTCCCCATTTTCCTGCCCTACTTCCAACCCCTCCACCCCACCTACAAAGACTTTTTCCGTTTTTTCTTTTTCTCATGTTAATTCCATCCCCATATTTCTTTTCCCCTACCCCTCCCTTTTCCCCTACCACTTTGCACCTTTTCTTCCTATTTCAAATTGTCTATTATACCTTTTAGTCCTATTTACACTTTTAGTTTCTCATACCAGAGAAACTACTTGGTATTTACACATATGTGTCCTATTTCACTTAAAAGTATAAAAGTCTCTAGGTTCTCATTCTTTATGGCTGAGTAGTACTGTATTTTATTTAAAAACCACATTTTCTTTATCCAGTCTCCTGTTGATGGACAATTGGGCTGTTTCCAAGTTTTAGCTATCACAAATTGTTCTGCTATGGACATGGGTGCACATATATATCACTTTTAATTCTTTGGGGAAGATACCCAACTGGGGGATAGCGGGTCAAATGGGGCCTTCAACCTTAGTTCTTTGAGGTAGCTCCATACTAATTTCCACAGTGGCTGCACTATTCTACACTCCCACCACCAGTGGACCAGTGTTCCTCTTTCCCCACAGCCCCACCAGCATTTGTCACTGGATGATTTCATGATAGCTGCCATTCCTTCTGGGGGTGAGGTAGAATCTCAGTGTTGCTTTCATCTGCATCTCTCAAAGGATCAGTGATGTTCAACATTTTTTCATATGTTTATTTACTATTTCTACTACTTTTCTGCAAAATGTGTATTCATTTCAGATGCCCATTTTTGGATTGGGTCTTTAAATTTGGGAAGTCTGTTTCTTTTAAGTTCTTTATGTAGTCTAGATAGTAGACCTTTGTCCAAATAAGAGCTGGTGAAAATTTTTCCCACATTGTGGCTTGTCTCTTCACACTATTGGTTGCTTCTCTTGCTGTGCAGAAGCTTTTTAATAAGAGATCCCATTTGTTGATTGTGCTCGTTCACAGGCAACTGAGGTTTGTTCATAAACAGACTCCTAAAATTTTTATAGTAAAGATCTTTCACAAAAATCAACCTATCAGGCTGGGGATTTAGCTCAGTGGTTCGGTGGCCTGCCTTGCAAGTGCAAAGACGTGAGATCAATGCCCGGTACCAAAAAAAAAAAAAAAAAAAAAAAAAAAAAAAAAAAAAAAAAAAAAATTACAGGGCAAAACATGTACCAGAGAAGATGGGAGAGGAAGAAGATCTGATCCATGTTACACCTCCATGACTAAACCCACATCAGAAGTGTCCTTTCCTAATATCCTCCACACTTCTCATGTCAAACAAGATGTTAATCAACAGTATCACTCTAGGTAATATTTTCTTTCTAGGAATATAAATGAGAGGAAACAGAACACGGGAACCTTGGAATCTGAAATCCTTACGTTTCCCTTCCTCAACATCAGGAAGTGCACTCAGGTAATAACTGTATTCTTAGTCGGCACATATTTATTTTCTTGGTTTAAAATGAGTAAGTAGAGATACAATGTGAGAAAATTTCCACTATGGAGCCAACTACTACAGCGCGTATTTTTCACCACTGACGAGGTCAGACTGTTCCTTAGTTCCACTGCGGCCGGTCCTTGTCTAGATTCATGGCGTTCTCTCACAGTGACTTGACTCTATCTGGAGCTAAGAGAGCTCGCCGTGTGTGACCTCACACAGGAAGAGACCACTAAACCAGTAAAAGTCAGGAGTGCTGGGAGTGGTGGTGCACGCTTGTAAACCCAGGAGTAAGAGAAGACAGAATAACAGCAGCGCAAGGCCACTGTGAACTCTATACCGTGAGCTTAGGAACAGGCGAAAAAACACGCGAGACCCTCGTAAAGACAGGGACAGCTCTCCGGATCCAGGAGTCAACTTTGCTTAAAAGCAGCTCAGGGAGGTCAGCATGCCGGGAGACAGAGCGCTCTAAAAGCCTCTGGGTCACAAACTGCCCCGAGCTCCACTCACACCCGCAGGGCCCGGTTTGCGGCGTCCGCCTCAGCTGTCGCCGCCCAGACCGAGGGCCAGGAAGCGGGAGCAAATCAGAGTGGAAGGCGCAGGCGCGTGCACTGTCCAATCAGGTGGGCCGAGGTCCAATCAGGTGGGCCGAGGGAGGAGGGCTCTGCTTCTCGGCAGCTGAGCCCAGGTGCGGAGTACTTTGCGGAGAGCCAGTTTCCCTGGCTACACCTCCTGGATTTAGGATTGCTGCTGGCTGCAGCCTTCGTGGAAAGGACCCTGGAAGACCCTCAAGCCACGCAATGGTAAGAGTGTGGAATCGCTGCCCTGAGATGGGCAGGAATGGGACGGGATGTGGGCGAGGTCAACCCGGAAGTGGTTGGATCCGGCAATGGCGGCCCAGAGCCTCCCTGCAGCCCCCGAGTCTGCGTCCCTCCTGGTCTCTAGCCCCGTGTACCTTCTGCACCTCCTGCCTTGGCTGAGGCTGGCCCATTTTGGGTACCCGGCACCACGCCTCCCTACAGCCTCCCCGCCAGCCAGGAGCGCAGTCTCAGGCAGCCCCCGCTCACAGCCGCGTCTCCTCCGGCTGTGTGCGGACTGTGGGAGTTGTGGGGAGACCCTGATTCCGGTGACGGATAGAGCTGGAGAGCTGAGATGTGTTGGTTCCCTCGTCTCAGTCCTTCCTTCCACACAGTTGGTGGACCTCAATTTTATGTATGACTATGGTACAGGGCCTTAAACCCAGAATTTAGCTCCTCGGGTCCATGCCCCGTCATGAGGGGAGTGAATTACGAAATGTCCAATATGGCCCCATATTTCCCGCATTCATGATGAATAGTTGATGATAAATGCCATGAGAACCTAAAGACAGAATCAACATCCACCGGGGATCGAACTCAGGACCTTGCGCTTGAGAGGCAGGAGGCGGCACCAGTGAGCTAAATCCCAGCGCATGGTTTAGCATCATTTTTGATGTGACTCAGTATTGCAGCACTTGTCATGCGCGCAGTAAACTCCCGTTACATACACAGAAGTGCAAAAAAAATTATCATCTTAATGGTTTAGATAGCATCTCTTCTAACAGATAGACCTTATAAGTGAGGACTTACCGTAGCGGTCTAAATGCTAAGAAAAATGGAAGTGATGTTATGTTAATGTGTTAACTGGGGCTGGAGAAAGTGTTCCTGCTAAGGACTACTTCCAGAAGGGACTGCCCATAAAATGCACTGTGGGAAACTCATTGAACTCGGGCAGCCACATGGAGGTGTGATTTGGCAGGAATGGGATGGGAGAGGGTGTCCTCTCATATAATTGCCATAGCCATTGGATTGTTTGTAAGCAGTGTTTTAAAAGTTGAAATCTTCATTGAGGTGGGCTTTATATTGAAGGATTACTACACGAGGCATAAAGCACTAAAAGTGAGGTCTGTAGGCATAAGAATGCTTAGGGATAAAGGTTTTATCTGTTGGGAGGAGAAAGATGGCGGAAGAGGAGGGGATCTAAGGGTTTCAAAAACACCCTGTGTCAGAGAAGGCATTTCCCTGAGGTCAGATTGTACTTTGTGTGACTATAGGAATTGTGCCCTGGCTCAATCTGAGAGTAGGTCGAAGATCAAGGGCCTTAAGGATGGAGAAGAACTTAGTAAAAGTGAGATAAATGTCTTCTGTTACCGCTAATCAGTTAACCTAATCATTTTTGAGGAAAAAATTGAAATTAAAAATGTGGCCTGGTAGGCCCAAAAGTTGTTGGATATTATCATCTAAGTGTGAAGATAAGGGATTTCTCCAGGATACAAAAGATTGCAAGGTGTGGTTGAAGTTTTCATTGCATAAATGATTAAACCTGGGGCTTTTGCTCTAAATCACACTCCGTACCCTATTTAATATTTTGTTTTTAAATTTGAGACCAGCTCTCACTAAGTTGTCCAGGCTGCAGTGAACTTCTGATCTTTTTTTAGCTTCGATAGGCATGTGACACCATGAATAGCTAAGATGCAGGGTCTTTAATTACCACCATTAATGAGGATTACGGTGCTTGATTAAATGAAAATCAGTGAGGCAGGGTTGCACCCCACTTTCATCCTAGCATGTGGGACACCGAAGCAGAGTATGACAATCCTAGGGTTGTATCTCCAGTGTAATGTAACTTGTGCAATATACACAAAGCCCTGAATTCAATCTGCAGTTCCAAAGAATAAAACAAACAGTGGGGAATTTACTTACTGTTTGCACAGTAGTGATGTATGTTAAAATATTTGCTGAAGGTATTGGGCAGCTGCAGTGAGTTACTTCTCTGTTAGTGACAGGACGCCAAGTGACAACAGATAAAGTGGTCCTTTGCCGAATAGGGAACTTACTGGTAGTTTCCTATGTTGAGCACTGTATTACTCAGGATCTCCCAAGGAACTAAGCTGAGACACAATATGAGTAGTATTTGGATAATGGAGAATTACTCTGGATTTTGTTTTGGGTTTTGGATTGGTTTGGTTTCATTTGCCTGCTTGGTTGGTTATTTATCTATATATTTAGTACTGTAGAGAGGTGCACCACTCCATTCTTACTGTCTAGTTTGTTTTACCAGGACAAAACAGTAGGATAGGAGTTGTCAATAAACCCAGGGCTGAACAAATTAACTACAACACGCCAAGCATGTACAATGCTAAGGAGAAAACACTTCCCTTCTTAGTTTATGCTGATTCTGGGAACCATTCTTTCTGCCTTAATCTTGGAGAAAATATTTGACTTTATTATTTTGCTCCATCTTGTTTTCTCACTGCCTCTTCCTTGCCCTTAATAGACTGAAGTCATGCCTGTCTAGTACTGTCAGATCCAAGTCTTGGAATCATTTTTCCTTTGTAGTGATTTACATTTCTCTGGACATAGAGATGACTACAAGCATTTATTGTGTGTTTCATATGTGGTTGGATCCTACAGTCCCTGAAATTCCTTTGAGTTCTCAGGAATTCTTCAAATTCTGTGAACATCTCTCTCTTGTTGGTGTCTTGGAGAAGGCCACACAGATGATCTATGGAGAGGATCACACCTGAGATAAAGCAGAGAGCTTCAGTTTAAGGGAAGTCTTAGTCTGGCTTTATACCCCCAGTGTGTGCCATCATGGTACACCATGCATGGGATCCTTTTCTGGTGTTTACTTTAGTGGCATCTGAAAGGCAGCCTAAAGCAGAGGACCAGAAGAGAGTGCTGAAGTTTAGACTGGGAGTTATTTGGGAAGAATCATTCAGCTCCATTTTAAGGTGCAAAGGTAGAGCTGGCAGGTCTTGGGTACTTCTCAGGGTACCGTGTCATTTAGGAGCTTATGTGTCCATTGAATCTGCTAAGTCAGAATTTCAGCCACTGGTGATTTCATACTTCTGAAAATATGGATTAAACATAATACCTTATTTGCCTTTTGCACAGTTATGAGAAAATGTGCTTTTTGAGTTCAGTCAGTGATACATGGGCCACAGGAAGCAGTTTTTCTTTTTTATTAAAGAAGGAAGGGTTTATTTGGCTCACCGTTTGTAGAAGTTTCAGTTCATAGTTGTCTGACTCAAAGGCAGGGTGGCATGGCAGGAGGGCGTCACACAACAGAAACAGCGGAAACGGTTTTTCTTACTGTTCTAGAACAGGTTTGGGAAAATGCTGTAGATGCTTGGGAACATGCTTGCTGGTGCACAGAGTGCCGATCCATTTAAAATCTAGCACATATTATCCACACTACCTCCGCGGTTGGCAGTAATTTCTGTTCCTCATAATCACCAACACCGCAGTGTTTCTACCTTGATGAACTTTGTGAAGATGAATTGAGATTCATTTCTATATTTATGTCTTTTTTAACAGCTTTCTTTTAGGCCTTCATTTCTTTCCCATGTAAGCCCTTCTATAAATTTTCTGCTTGTATTATATTTTGATATTTGTGATGAGGATACTGTTCAATTAAATATTTTCTTCTGTGTATTTCTTTGTCATATCTAGAAAATGGAAATACCTTGTGCAATTTTTCATCTGAAAGTTAATTTCATCGATTATTTTCTTTGCTGAACAAAAATCCTGTTACTCTTTTTGTTTCTTTACAAAGTTATGTTAAAATTTGTGATTTTACATATTTATATCAGAAGTTTTCCCCACTCTTTCATTAGAAAGTTATTCTCTTCTATATTTTACATTTTAATATTTAATATTTTTGTCATATATCTCAATCAGATGCATCTTTGAATGTTTGTGATGCAAAATCAGGTTTACTTGACACATAAAATGTACAACTTATCACCATAAGTAGATGATTAATTACCTCTTCCTCTTTATTTGTACTGCCAGCCTTAGAAAATCTCAGTTTAAAAGAAAGCAGTATTTCTTGATATTTCTTATAAATTTACTGTGTCTGTGTGTTGTCTGATGTGCAGACTTCAATAATTGTAACTTTATAGTATGTCCTAAAGTATGGAAATGGATAGTTCTCCTGTTTATTTGAAATTTGAAAAATAATGTCTCATCCTTTGCTTTTTAAAAGGGATTCTACAATAATTTTGTGACATTTATAGTTGATTCACTGGTATTATAAATACAGTAGAATTATGGATATATTTTGAAGTATTTATGGCAGCTCACATCATCAAGTTGAAGTCTGTACCTTATTCCCTACATAGGCAGATCAGGTACCCAAGTTGTTTTCTTTTGGTTTTTTGAGACAGAGTCTCACTCACAGTTACATTGGACCTTGAACTATCTCTTTAGCCCAGGCTGGCCTTGAACGTGTGGTGATCTCACTGCCTCAGCCTTCCATGTGCTGAAATGCCTGGCTATCAAATTTTATTTATGAGAAATATTTTTTAATAGGTTACTGATTTTTAAAGAAGATATTGGTAATATTTTATAAAGATGATACATAAGTGCTTGGCAGGGTATGAATATTTCTAGGTGCTTATAGAATCTTTTTTTGCAGTGATATGTGAGGAAGATTTTCCTCTATAAAGCAAAATTACTGGCATAGATTGAGAGAAGAAGTTGAGTGGAATATCCATGATCTGTTTTCAAGACTGACACTAGAAGTATTTGCAAAAAGTGATACAACTTCAAACTTCAAATTAAATATATTTTTAAAATCAAATGGTTACTTCCCTGAAAGTTCATCATATTCATGTCATGTTGCACTTTTGATTCTATTTATAACAGAATATTTTTTGTTTTAACTTCTAGTAAATTAAAAAGTTCTTTTTCTGTTTTTTTGTTTTGTTTTGTTTTTTGTTTTGTTTTGTTTTTTTTGAGGCAGGGTCTCACTATGTAGTTGAGGCTGACCTGGAACTCAC